TGCTATACAAACTCAGTAAAAGTGGCATAAGTCCTCATACTAAAATGTATAAAATCATTGACAATATGTATTCCTAATCTCAATCTTGTCTAAAGTTTTATATACTGATATATATATTTTAATACTGATATAGGGGTTTTGCAAGGGAGTGTGCTTAGTACTTTTTTATTCAATCATTTCATCGATGATCTGACTTTACAATTACCAGCACTCTGTGGTGTTATTTTAAACGATAAAAGGTTAGATCATCTTCTATGGGCGGGTGACCTCGTATTGATCTCAGAATCCAGTGATGGATTGCAGCTATTACTTGACACACTTTTTCTTTTTGTAAGACTAACAGGTTAATTGTCAACACAATGAAAACTAAAGCATTTATCTTCAACACTTGGATTTACAAAGTGAAAATTTATTTGTCAATCTTATTTCTCGTAAAAATGTAACCTTGCAAAGACATATTGGCAAATTCATTTACCATTCATTTAAGAATTTAGCATGGTCATAATGCATTGTGTGTGCACCACACTATGATTGTTACCTTATATATTTTTATATATTTTTTGTATTTTTATTAGCTCACATGGTGAGCTTTTGCAATCACTCACTTGTCCGTCGGTCTGTCTGTCCGTTCGTCTGTCTCTCCGTCCGTCAACAATAGTGGCATGTTTTAAAACCTCTGTTGATAGGATTCCTGTTTTAAGTTATTTCTGTTCAACATCAATACAGAAAACTCCCCTATGACTCCTGGTTCAAAAGCTCGCCTATTTTCAAAATGGTCACCATTTTTGTCTCAAGAAATTCAATTTTGACCCATTTCCTAGCTTTACAAATAATTTCAGGTGTCCTACATTGTAAAAATCCATGTCAATGTAAAGAGTAGATATATGAAATAATTTTGTTACAAAAAATCAGCAAAAAATTATATCCATTTTTTTATTTTCTGCCATTTTAGTTAAAGCAGATATGAAATGGTATTTTTAACCTAAAGGAATCAATATAATTTTTTGATAAATGTATTTGGACATGTTTTATATTAGGGGTGTCAGCTTAGCAATGTTTTATTTGGCTTTACATTTAGGGGTGTCAGGTCGGCAAACTTTTATTCGGCAATAGCAATTTTAATCCAATTCGAAAATAAAGCACCCGGATTTAATACATGTTATACAGTATACCATCTTTGACCCTGGAGGCTATACCCAACGTAGAGTCTGGAGGCTATATCATCCTAGACTCTTGGAGGCTGTATCCATTGTAGACTATGGAGCTACTCTTGGAGACTATACCATCTCAGACTCTTGTAGGCTGTACTATCTTAGACTCTTGGAGGCTGTACCTACCTTTGACTCCTGACTTTCATAGAAATCATAGACTATTGTGGCTGTACTATCTTTGGATCTAGAGGCTGAATCCAAATTATATACTCTGAAGCTATACCATATTAGTCTCTGGAGGCTGAATTCATATTATACTCTGGAGGTTGTACCGTATTAGACTCTGTAGGCTGTATCAATTTTAGATTATAGAGGCTGGGCCATCTTAGATTCTTGGAATTTAAGGTTGTAGCCATCATAGAAGTAGATGTACCCATTAAACTCTTGAGGCCATATTAGACTCTAATTGTTAATATTAGTCGTAGACTATACCATTTTCAACTTTGGAGGCTGAACCATCTTAGGCTCTGAAGGCTGTGCCGTCTTAGACTCTGGAAACTGATCCCATGTTATATTGAGAGGCTGTACAATCTAAGGGTCAGAGGCTCTACATCTTAGATTCGTGGAGGCTGTACTTATCCTAGGCTCTGAATGCTATAGCAATCAAATGATCTGAAGGATCTACCATCTTGGACTCTGGAGACTGATCCCATGTTATATCTGGAAGCTGTACGATCTTAGACTCGTGAAGACTGTACCTATCTTAGCTTCTGGATGCTATAGCAATCATGGCCTCTGAAGACTGTATCATCTTAGACTCTGGAGACTGATCCCATGTTATATCTGGAGCTGTACCATCTTAGACTCATGGAGGCTGTACCATCTTAAGACTCATGGAGGCTGTACCCATCCTAGGCTCTGAATGCTATAGCAATCATAGCCTCTGAAAGCTGTACCATCTTATACTCTGGAGGGTCTGGAGGCAGTTCCATCTTAGACTTATAGAGGCTGTACCCATTCTAGGCTCTGACTGCTATAGCAATCTGATTTTGAATGTTGTAGTATCTTGGACTCTGGATGATGAATACATATTACACTCTAGAGGCTGTATCATATTAGATTCTTGAGACTGCACTAATCTTATACTCTGGAGGCTGTACCATCAATATACTCTGGAGGCTGAACCAACTTAGGCTCTACTGTACTATTCTATGGTCTCAGGTTCTACCATATTAGGCCATTAGATGATATGTTCTTGGTATTTAAGCACACCACACACGCTGGGGGTTGAATCATATTCCATGTTATAAAATAAGTGTTTTCAGAACATATGCACTACACTACACTATTTGGGTTTATAATGTTACTATAATGTTACTATGGCAACCCCTTGACCAATCATGTACAGACTTACCATATTAAAGAATAACATCAGTATCCATGAGCTCTATAAATATAACTGTGACTGATTTTGAAAAAATAACTGTTCTAGGAAATTATCACTGAAAAGTGCCACGCCCACTTTTGAGTAGATAAAGAGGTAGTCACCTAATAGAGTAGAGTCTAGAGTCAAAGATACCATATAATTCATCATATTTATCATGTTATCTTATTAAACACTCCCCAAATATGTTTTAGGGTAATATAATGTTCATTTTCAAATGATTTGAAGAGAAATGGCAACATCTGTTATTATAAGAAGCTTAGGATTTACCTGAAATATTAAAGATTTTGAGCAATTAAATTGTGTTGTTATGATAACCAATGGACCAATTAATGTCAAAATTGTCATGACAACTGAGTTAATGTTATGCTGCATATTAACCAAGTCACCAAATGTTGGTGCACGATTTGGATCTTCAGAGGGCATGTTAATGACAGGTTGTATATTAGGCTGCGGCCCCGGCTGCGGCGGTTGTACAGTGTTAACAAGCTGATTAGACAAGCTCATTTGCTGGATAGTTGTAGAGGAGGTAATATTGGGATTGATATGACTGATATTCTGAGGGGGTGGACCTCTAAACACAATGTGACCAGGCCCACTATCTACTATCAATACAGGACAGGTATTGATGGAACTAACGTGGGGGCCCTTAAGTTGAAAGGCATTCCACCCTGAACTGGTGTACTTGTTATTATTATCCCATCGAACGAAGTTCGGAGGGATATAGGGAACGCCTCCGTCTGTCCGTCCGTCCGTCGGTCCGTCCGTCCGTCCGTCCGTCCGTACGTACGTATGTCCGTCTGTATCTATATATTACAAGATGTCCGTCCGTCCGTCCAGGCAATAACTCAAATACCGTTGGCCCGATTTTGTTCATATTTTGTACACATATACCCTATGGGGGTAGAAGTTCTGCTCAAAAGCTGATTTTCAAAATGGCCGCTCATTTCAAAATGGCAGCCATTTTAGTGCCGATTTTAAAGTAATTTAGGTGCAATATGTAAAACTGTAATAGCAATATGTTTTAAATGTAAAATAATTATAAAGGATTATTAATAAAGCTACAAATGTAGATATAAAAGCACATGGCAGCCATCTTGAAAAATGGCGGCCTTTACTCGTTGTTTTACGATTTTTGCTGTAACTCGAAAAGTAGTGGAGCGATTTTGTTCATATTTGATATGTGAATACTATAAACATGGCACACTGTCTAAAGACACTTTTGGTAGAAGGCGGCCATTTTGAAAAATGGCCACCATGTTAACGTGTTTTACTATAACTAGAAAAGTAGTGGAGCTATTTTGTTCATATTTGGTATGTGAATACTATAAGCATGGCACACTGTCCTATGACACTTTTGGTAGAAGGCAGCCATTTTGAAATTTTTTTTGAAAAATGGCCGCCATTTTAACGTATTTTACTATATCTCGAAAAGTAGTGAAGGGATTTTGTTCATATTTGGTATGTGAATACTATAAGCATGGCACCCTGTCTAATGACACTTTTGGTAGAAGGTGGCCATTTTGAAAAATGGCTGCCATTTTAACGTATTTTACTATAACTCGAAAAGTAGTGGAGCCATTTTGTTTATATTTGGTATGTGAATACTAAAAGCATGGCACACTGTCTAATGACACTTTTAGTAGAAGGTGGCCATTTTGAAAAATGGCCCCATTTTAACGTATTTTACTATAACTTGAAAAGTAGTTCAGCGATTTTGTTCATATTTGGTATGTTTCATTTTTTTATATGTGAATACTATAAGCATGGCACACTGTCTAATGACACTTTGGGTAGTAGGTGGCCATTTTGAAAAATAGCCACCCTTTTTCACGTTTTTTACTATAACTTGAAAAGTAGTGAAGCGATTTTGTTCATATTTGATATGTGAATACTCATGAGCCTTGCACACTGTCTCATGACACTTCGGATAGAAGGCGGCCATTTTAAAAAATGGCTGTCATTTTTACACTTTTTACTATAACTCGAAAAGTAGTGGAGCGATTTTTTGTTCATATTTGATATGTGAATACTCTAAGCATGGCACATTGTCTAATAAAACTTTGGGGAGTAGTCGGCCATTTTGAAAAATGGCCACCATTTTTATGTGTGTTATTTTACAAGTACATGTGTGCGATTTTTCAAAAATTTTATAGGTGGCTACTTAAAAGCATATTATTTCTTCTGATGACAACTTGGCTAGTGAGCAACCATTTTGAAAATGGTGGCCTTTCTGGTGTGTTGTTTTATGATATTTGCTATATATTTCGTTTGTAAAAATGCCAGCCATTTCTGTTCGATGGGATTCTGGTTGTGCCTAGACCAGGATTTCTTGTAATAAAACCCAAAATCAGTTACTCCTTATAGTAAAAAATAATCTTACAACATAATCAATGATATTTCAGATGAGGGCATTGATACTCGTATACATGGCATCAAGATAAAGTCCAGTAAGGAAAGGGAGATGGGACTGAGCAAAGACCTGTTTACTAAAGATAGTCTTATACGCTACCCACGTCTAGATGGGAAGACCCCTGAGGCCCTCTATAGGAGATCCTTACTACTTCAAAGGTACCCACCTTGTGTTTATACATGTCAGAGGTCAGATCTGTATTGAAAAAATGATTTTCCAGTGCTTACACAATTTTGATGGTGCTAATTTTACTTAGCTATAATGTATGAACAAAAAATAATTATCCTTATTGCATACAGCATAAATCTTTCTAGAATATTTAAAATACATGTAGTTTAGATTTTTCCTACTTTTGCAGGTTTATTAGTCTTCTTGATAGTGTGCTTCCCTATATTATACCAAGTTGGGAGTTTAGTATAGGTTCATATAGCAGTATGGAAGTCATTAGACAACTACTACCTTTATCAAAGAAGCGCATGTCACTTCTTGAAACCTTTCTTAGGGAATCAGAACTTGGGTAAGAGTAAACAAACATTAATTGTAACATAAAACACCAGATTTTCTTATAATAAGGCCTTGGACATATAGATAAAAGTAAGGCCTCTGTCACATTTGATCTATGGCAACCGTATAGCAGCCGTACCCTCCCAAAATCGAGAGAAATATGTAGCATAAAAGATGCGGATGTACGGATGTACGGCTGCTGTAGAGCAAATGTGACAAGGGCTTTAGGCCTAATTTGTCCATGTTTTACCCTTGTAACGAAGCCATATGGGCAGCTTTGATTTGAAATACTTTCAATTGAAGACCCACTTGGCATTGGGTGCAAATTATACTGGAATATTTTAAAGCATTATTTTTAGAGGTGAATGTCATATTGCTATTATATGATTTTTATGAAACATTCTTGCTGAACATACCTGTAGACGAGAAATATATTTAAAATTTCCTAAAAAATGTAAACTTATTGATAATTGTTTTAGTCGTCCACCAAGAATACCAAAATTGTTTGTAAATCGCCGGTCTGCAGCCGACCACAAACAAGATCCTAGTCTAGATCCTGAGTGTAAAAACACAGTCTTTAACCAAATATATGAGGGACTCAAACCCAGGGATAGATATGAAAAACAGTTAGATTACAGGTGAGTTTTTTATTAAATCACCTGGAATTTCATGTTCATCAATATCAATTAAGTTGAAAATTGTAGAGTGCATCATCAGATCATGAAATCACACTCCAATAAATTCAATATGGATTATAAGACATATAAGTCATGCACACACAATATATATTTCATAGCATATTGATTATAAAAAATGCTTGGTGTATATTAATGTTAGTCTGCTTTCATTTGATAGAACTAGACTCTACTTGGGGTAGTATAGTGAGCATTAGAGAGTCATGGTCAATGCACTTAGGGGTCAGACAGTTTTAAAAGGATGAGTCTGGGAATGAGTCTGGGTATCGACTTAGAAAATATTGAAAATTGTAATGTCTGAAAAACCAACTCAATCACACATATTATTAAACTTCAATATCTTATCCTTCTCCTGAGAGTACAAAAATATCAATTTGTATCACAATTAATGAAGAATATTGGCATCAAAGACAGTGCATACCACTTTGTCAGAATTGAAAAAAAATCAATGGCAAATATTAAATGAATTATTTATACAAAAGGTTTGAAACATATCCTCCAAAACATTGCTTACTTTCTTTGTATAGACATTGAATGGTATTTCTGGATAAGTGAATTGGTGTTTATCTGGGTAATCAAGGGATTTTAGTCACTCAAAGTTACTGAGCATCAAGTTTTGAGACTTCAATTGTGTTGGTGAAGTTACACATATTTCAGTCAAATTCATGCTGAGCACAACATTTTGGTTTCAATTTTATAATCTCAATACATGACCCTGGTGATGAAGAGTCAGAATCAGCCAAAAAACCTACACCGGAAAACTGTGCTCATTGTGAAAACTAAAAGTGAAGCAACTTTTTTTCTGATATTTCTTACATCAAATGGCAGCCATCTTGTTTTTCCCCCTTCAAATTAAACTGGCGGGAAATTCAAAAATTTGAAAAATATTTTAATCCTTAAATATATTTCAAAAATATGATTTTCTTTTAAATTCTTCATGGGTCTTAAGTTATTTCTTCTTTGTAAGTCATACATGTTGCCATTGGTGTTTTTTTCTATGATAATGACTACTTTTTGTTTTGTTAAGATACTTATTCTGACTCTCAGCAGGGGGTTAATCACGGGGTACCATCGAATAATTTTGGCAACGTACCGGAGAACGACATTTTACTAAGAAATGGCAATAATTTAGCTCAATATAATTTTTAACTAGAGTTCTACTTTGATTTTGACAAAAGTAAGTATTCCATGCAATGGCTATTTCATTCATGAGTTTGTAGGAATTCTGTTGGAACCCAGTTCTGATCAAGTACGAAGTTATTGAAATCGGCGCAGTCGGACTTTACTCCGAAAGATGGTTTTTCGATTATAACTTTTTACAACATTTAAGTATAGACTTTTGAAAAAAGTACAGAATAGTCCTTATACTATTGAATAATTCTGTTATTTCTGATTCACACGACTCTGATTTGTTTAATTAAAAAAAAGTTTTAAAAATATTACTTAGGAACGTAACCGGAGCTGGGAACGTAACCGGAGCAGATCAGTTGAATTATATAATTTAAAAAAATAAAATATCACTTTTTGCAGATGGCCCAGTCGATATGACCAATGGTGGGAGTGTAAATTTCTATCTGAGGGCATCATAGACCAAGGGGGAGGTTTCAGGGACAGTCTGGCAGATATGGCTGAAGAGTTGTGTCCATCAGACAATGAGGTCCCCATGCCTTTGCCTTTCTTTATTAGATCACCCAACCAGGTCAGTGTAAAAGAGGGCTTTTAGTGAAAGTATAAACATGAAAGATTAGCTTCATAGGCGACATCTATAGATATAATTAAAACTGTATCTCAAGAGACAAATCTCACTTTCAATTTAGGATAATCAATCATGAGCAAATAATTCATTTCTTTTTATTTCATTTCTCACTGAAATTAACTAATTGATTATCTTTTAAAATCATGAAAAGAAAAAGTCGAATATTCCTTTCTGTAAATATTATAGTTCTCGGCCATGATTGGTCAAAAGACCTTGACTTGTTTTGACTTTTGATCATTGTTTTTCAGTCCCATGAAGACTCCAATGTTAATCGTGATGTTTATGTGCCAAATCCACAAGTTACAATGTTTGAGAAATACGGTTGGATCGGTCAGTTAATGGGAGCGTGTTTCCGAGGTAAAGAAAGCCTTGTTCTATCATTACCATCATTTATTTGGAAAAAACTAGCAGGAGAAAGTACATCGTGGTCACGTGACTATCCTAGCGTTGATGCAGCTGAAGTGAAACTAATTGATACAATAAGAGCAATGGACAAAGATGCCTTTGAGGCTTATTTTGGTGAGGGGAGTGAAAGGACTTGGACTACGACACTAAGTGATGGTAGTGTTAAGCTCCTAAAAGAGGGGGGTGTAGAGGAAAAGGTGCAATATGAAGATAGGTGCAGTTACTGTGATATGGTTCAACAGGCAAGGATGCAAGAATCCCAAAGTCAGGTAGGTCATCTTTAAATACTTTCTTCTTAACAGCTAGGGATTGTGTGCAAAGATCAACAGCTTTGAAAGAATAATGACAATTTGGTGTAAGATTTCATTTCAGAAAATTGGTAAAATCAAGTAAAATACAAATCAATATTTTCAGTCTGTTTTTAGCACAGGGGTGGGCTTAACCATAATGAAATTAACATCATTTTTCCACAACTGTCCAGATTTGGACAAAAAAAACTTTTTAAATTAGACCAGGTCAAAAATGGAATTTAACAAGTAATTTAATGAAGAATGAAATACTCTCATAGGAAATGAAATGATATGTCGCCCATGTTAATTTGTCCTTTTAACTCATGCGGTTCACAAAATAACAATATTTTGACCCAAACTCTAAAACAGAATTTAAAACCAAATTTCTATATTTTTGGTATTTACTTGGCCTTATTTTAGAACAATTGTTGTTTTCATATTTAGGCCTAGCCTGCTGCCGTCTTATCAATTAAAAACATGTGTTATTGTAAATGGGTTCAAATCCCCCTATTGCATTTGTATGATACTAGAATTGGCTATTATTTAGGCTTGTAATATGTGAAAATACAAAAAAACATGAAATATTTTTATTTTTTAAACTCACATTATTTTTTGAGTATCTATTCAAATACTGCATGTAGTTGAACAATAATTTCTACTTAACAACTTTAAAGATGGTAAAATGTGTAAAGTATAAAAAGTCATATGCATATGACAATATTAATTGTAAACATTTCAGATCTATACTTTGTTATATGCTAAACCCACAGGGAATCGTATGGAGGGTCGGGCAGAACCCTCCCCAACCTCCAAAGTCTACTTCTTTAATAAGGGAAACCGGAAAGTGAAATGTCTAGAAAAATAAAAAAATTATTTAAACTAAAAAATAAGTCAAATCATTAGTACATTAGTTGGGGAGGGTTCTGCCCGACCCTCCATACAATTCCCCGTGGCTATACCATAGCCCATGGCTATACTGGGTATTAAATGTATAATATTTTAAGGAGCTAAAACAAAATATGTTTGACATGTAAATTGAGAATTTAGAACAAAGTAATTGTTAAACAAACATTTTTTAGTGTTTAAAAACTAACTGTTTCAAGTTTGAGTATAACATGTGTCAGTTTCAACAAGTTAATCCAATACCCAACTACAATGAATAATGTTTTATAAAAGATGGCAGTGCTGAGTGCAGACACTGCTGCAATCTTTGTATCAGCCTAATAGCAGTTGCCTTTGTTAACCCATGGGCATTCTGAATGCCCATGGTTAACCATAATGAACATAGAAATATGACACAACTATAATGTTCAAAACAATGTACATACACTACTCAAGCCCCATTGCATTGTGAGCTTGCAAGTGGCAGCAGATCTAATGTAAGGGGCTATAAACATACTAGCAAGTGGGATCCCATGTTGAGCCAATCACACTCCAAGAAATTGGGTTTGGATTAAATTAATAACCCACATATTCCAAGTAGAGTTTTAGGGAGATAAGTTGGTAAGATATATCCCGTATCCTGATTTTGAGGTTTCCATATCCAGAACCTCCATATCTCCCGCCCTCCGTCCGTCCGTCAGACAGTCAGTCCCTCCGTCCGTTTTATGCAAAAAAAATAATTTCAAGATGGCCGCCGCTTTAAAAATGACGGGACTTTTTTGCAAAAATCATAAATTTTTCATTCTAAACCAAAGCAATTAATATGATTGTTTGAAATTTTGGTAGTATATTCGCAACATCTATCTATTTCACATATATTCGGTGTTTTTCATCCTGATCCCAGGGGCCATGTATGGGGGGTCAGGAAAATAGAAATTTTCGCTAATTTTTAGATCTTTCTGAAGTATAGCTTTATTATACTCAAATGAAAGGCAATTAAGAGTAGATTGCAAATATTGTATCTTTTTTCTGATTCGAGCCTCGTAAAATTCAAAATGGCCGTCTAATGTACGATTTCGCAATAATTTTTCGATCCCTTCAAAGTATGGCTATATAATACTCAAATTGAAGGAATTTTGGAGTAGATCACAATTATGGTATTATTTTTCAGATTTGTACCTCAGAAAATTCAAAATGGCTGCTTTGCAGGAATTCGCAATTCTAAAATCTAAATTTTTCAATTTTAACCAAAGTAATAAGTATAATTGATTGGAATTCGGTAATTGATATTTTGTTCATTGGGATTTGCTACTCCACGGAGATGCCGTTATTTAGTTTGTTTATTTTTACACCTTATACTATTGAAATGGCCATATGCCCCTGAAAACTCTACTTGGTATAGGATAAGGCAGTTATGTACGGTCGGTTTGGATATTGGGTTCATCCCTCGTGAGATATGCACATCTACCTTTGGTCTCTACGGTCCCTCGGATAGATATGCATATCTACCTCTGGATAAACCCCATATCCAAAACCTCCCAGTACATAACCCTTATATATGTGAACCTATATACTTGATAAGCTATGCTGAAGGATATCTTACTTGTTTACATCCTGTTTGTATATAAAAAAGGGGTCGAGATGCAGTGGTAGAGAGCAGTGTGCTTATTGCTAATCTGATTATAACCCCGAAGCAGATCACTTTGACATGCCATAAATACTAACTTTCATTTTCCTGGCTGCTTCTACAAGTTATTGCCCCATCAATTTAAAATATACTTTTTTCAGTCAATTCCAAATGAGTTTAATACTGCAGTGTTTCCTCCTATAAAATGATTCATTCTCATTTTTTCTATATATATTCCACCAACCAACAATATTAACCATTAAATCAACAATATTAGACCATAAACCAACATTATTTTTTGTTAATGGCTCTCAGTAGTATCTAATACTCATACATACAGATCAATTCTTTTTTGTAATACAGGGTTTATGAATTCCTCGTTGAGCTATAGATGTTTAGTACCAACTTTCACTATTTTCCCTAGGTACTGATTAGACTTTCTAATATGCCAGCTGTACAGCTTATTTGCCAGAAAGGCAAGGAATGCAATTATAATGAGGTTGATAACCATTGAGCTATACCCCATTTGATAATAGATCTCTTGCTCTAACATATGTCTCAGCTTCCGTGGGTCTATATAAGTTTCATTCAATTCCTGGTGGTATCTGTTCTTAAACGCCTTAACCTTTGAAGCATTATTTTGATGGTGGTCCATAATGATGTTCCAGACTCTTCTTAATGCTTCTGGTACACTATTTGGGAAGTCATAATCTGTGACGCCTATCATCACAGGGCTGGTAAGATATGTGTTACTAGTGAATGACTTTATGACGCTTTGTTTGTGAGAAATACCAGCGAAGCTCTCGTGTGTATCCAGAAAGCCTAAACCTATTTTCTCACTTAGTATTCCTATCCAGGGATCATCGGGGAAGAATGCAGGGGTGTCAATAGACATGGAATAGAGTTTGTGGATAACGTTAGAGTGTGCTACATAGGCTGTACCAGAGCAGTAACTGGGCCATGCACTGCCTTCGTAATCTTCTTTAGTGATACTGTATTTAGGGTGATTGCGCCAAACACGTGTACAACATGGATAGAGATAACATAAACTGAACTGGTTTAGTACATCCTTATTGAATTGTTGAGCATTTAAAAAGGGGATTAGTTTGAATACATCCACGACTACTTCATCACTTCCCACCATGACATATTGAGCATGTGGGCAGTAGAGTCGTGCCCACTTGAACGCCATAGTTGTCTTCAGTGTCAGATTTCTATATGAGTCAATGAAGTCCTCTTGGATGACATCTTTATGTAGGGTGCCTTCTTTCTCCAAAGCACTTTGTGCTGTAGTATTGTTCCCAGGAGATCCAACCAAGAATAATGGCACTACGTTATGCTCTGGAAAGTGTCTGTTTAACAGCCCAGGGCTTAACCATGTTTTCCTTAAAGTAGCCCTCCTGTCTATATGTGAAATCTTACTTCGTACAAGTACTAGCAAAAACACACTTTTCTCAGTGATACATACATTTGGTTGGTTAATGGTCAGTTTGTATGGGTGTGGATTACATTGTTTTCCTGCTTTGAAAAATATTTCAGGCACTGGAGATTTAGGGTCCCAAGGTCGAGATTCAATGTTGTCATAGCCCTTTGTGCCCCATGTTTTACCAGCAGCCAATGCACTACTCTCACCTCCTGAAAGAAAATGAAACTTGTAGGTAATAACATTGAAACTATATATATAACATATTCTAGGTGTTGGGAAAAGGGCAACTAACATGGCTATTTATGGAGAACTTGGGAGGTATCCACTATTTATAAACATATTTGATAGAATTTGTAATTTTTATGCTCATATTCAGGACTCTGATAACCTGTTACTTAGTCAAGCATTTCACAACACAAAAAATCAGAATTTCATGTCATGGTATTCGTTGTTCTTAAAATTGATTAAAATATTAATGAATACTGATGAAATACTAGATATAACGCCAGAAGTATTATCTGAATGCAAGCAAAGTCTAAGGAGCCGATTTCATGAATTCTGGAAGAATAAAATCTCTAATGATACATAAAAACGAAAGTGCAATATCAAATTGAGAACTTATAACACATTCAAAAGTAACTTTGCCTATGAAAACTATTTAGATGTTTAAAACATTTTGACCTGCGTAGAGAGTTTACTAAACTTAGAATAAGTGCACATAATCTCCAAATTGAACTCGGTCGCTACACAAGACCAAAACCGACACCTCTGGAAGAGAGAAAATGCGAAACATGCAATATCATAGAAAATCTCCTACACTGTATGAAATATAATAAACAAAGAAGTATAATGTTGTCTAAAATGAAAATGCCAGTACAAGAAAATCTATTTATTTATTTGATGTCTGGTAAAGATCAAAACTGTATAAATGTAGCAAAATATATATTTACTTCCAGTACCAATAGCTATATCTCTAGTGCACCAATGCATCATCATCATTAATAGTAATACTAATAGTTATGTAGTTTTGTTTTTTTTTACATGTTAATGTCTTCTTTTTCCTTCCTTTATAATTGTTATAATTTTTGTTTGTACATGTACTTGACCCCCAAGGGGTGTGAATGTACTTGAAGAATAAATAAATATAATATTATATTATCTTCTTCGAAACCTTGTGGGAGGTGTGTAGTTGGGGGGGGGGGGGGGGCTTTAGCAAGACTATAAATACATAAGAGATTCTGGCAAACTTTAAGATGTGAATATGATGCATACATACAAATACATTCATAATTTTTAGAGTTAAGATTCCTTAAGGTCCTCGGCCTATTTGATTTTTCTCAAATTGATCTTTATTTGTATATTTGGCCCTTTGCAATACCAGATAGTCTGTTTGCATATTGTTAAGGTTCAAACATGTTCTTTTACATCTCTATTGTTTGACATCATTTGTATCACATGTTAATTTACATGTGTCAACATCTTTGTTTAATTTGAATCATTCACGATTATTCTACACATAACTGTACAATTAGTCATTTACCTGTCATTGCAAATGCCAGTAGGATAAATGATGCTGTGAGCTCCATCAATATATAGTCCAGGTCCATCATATACATGTAGTTTACTTCCTGTGATTTTCAGTGTCTACATCTTTACTCCTTTCAAGGGCATTCTGGGGAATAAAATCTAATACTCTTTATATTGTTCTTTAAATGATCATTTGGAAATCAGCTTCTTATTTTCTTTGATGAAATTCATATTCGATTGGATTGCCTTCAGCTAATTTTCCACTTTAATATGATAACTATCGTACAAAAGTAATATTGAGTTACTCAGCTATATATATTACCTGGTATGTGGTTTAACTGCCATATAGTTTTTCGACATTAAGTGAAAGTTGAACAGTTAACACGTTCATCCTTTATAGGCTCATTAACAAACCTGTATGTATTTCATATTATCCCACGTATAGCTCGACCAATCTTCATTCATTTAGGAGGCTATGTGTATCAAACATTTCTAGAAAGTTAGGTTCCATGTCAATTGGTTAGCATATCTGTACTGTTACATGTAGCTCAGGTGCATACTGTGTATAGACCTTGTGCATACATACCATTCAGCTAATGTTTATTCCTGATGTTCATGTTTGGTCCTAAATGTTTCCAAAAGGTTATGTTTTTTGTCAATTAGCAGGTGATTTCATCTCCTATCTTCAGATATGTTGCGCTTGGTTAGTGCACTGATACCTCAGGTGCATATTGCGAATAAACCCTGTATATACCATTCAGCTAAAAGAAATGTTTATTCCTGATATTCATTATGCAGTAGCTGCCTGTATTGCCTTGAATAAATAAGATTGAAATCAATAGACCTCAATGTTAACCCTTTTCTGTATGTACTATTTTGCCATGCTTAAAGAGTTGTGCTTAACAGTGCACAGATTTCCCATATAAATGTGAGCTATTAATAAAATGTACTAAGCTTGTTAACAATACAAAAGAGGTTATTTTTATTTATGGAAAATATTTAATGGTTTAAACTGTTAACAACAATTTATCATAAGCTTTATTTCAAACATGGCCCAGAGCCCCATGCATGCTGTTTGCCAATTGTTTCTCCGAATGATTAATAAATCAAGTTAACAATGGAAAAATATTGTTAAAAACAAAGTGCACCAAATTGAAATACGAAAATGGCAAATGGAATGCATACTTTCAAAAAAACTTTATATGTTTAGAATTGTATCCCCAATTTTTAAACCCATTATATGGTGGCATATTGCAAAATCAGACCCAAGAGTCTTAAAGTGTTGCAGAACTGTAATTAAATTGGTTATTGGTGAGGGAAATATTATGGTAAATGTTAACAAATGGACTAATGGTAGGACTTCGAATGTATGTAAAGTATGTAATCTAGAACCTGAAACTCTGAGTCATATGATCCTTAGATGCCCTGGCCATTATGAGGAAAGGGATGCAATCCTAAGGATTCTTAAATCTGTCGTTAATACAACACAGGATATCCCTAATGATACCATTTTGGGCTGGATATTTGGAGCCTGTGATGTATTTAATATACAGCAGTATAAAGAAATATCTGTATATATTCATAAAATTTACATAAATAGACCAGACCCTTGGCCTGGCATCACATAATACCATATTGTATATGTTTACCAATGTACATGTATCACTGTATATATGTTAATTTATCTATTATAAATTTTATATAAAAAATTAATGTACAACACATCAGAAATGGTGGATAAAATAAACAAAAACAAAAAAAAAACACAACTAAACACCTGGCTCAAAACAATTTTTTGGTTATTTGGTGTCATGACAAATATATGATGCCATTAATATTCATGTGGTAGATGGATGGAAAATCAATTTAAAGGATAGGTATCGATATGGTGAACTGAATTTAAACATGTTTTTTTTCTTAAACCAATTATTGAAAACATTCTGTAAAAAAACACGGTCCTAAATGTAATGGTCACTGATTGACAACAATTTGATGCAAAGATTATTTATATATACATGTATTTTATTTAACTGTTTTTGTTAACATTTTTGTTTTTTAGTGCAATTGTTCTTTGTTCTTTTCGACCAATGAATGAATGAATGAAATAAAATATTCGAACAAAATAGCATATACAACATTTTCTTAAACCTCTTGGTATTATAGTTATTATATAAATGAAATTTTGGTTGATTTAAAAAAAAGTATTCAAAAAATTAAAACAAAAAAAACAAAATAGATAAAAATTAAGATAAACATTTTATGTCATCAACAAGATACTTTTTTAAATCAACCATTGAGAGACCTAAACACGTTGTGTTTATGTCATTTTGTTCCAGTGAGGTTCGGATAGATGTTTCATTTCATTCCGAGGATATGATACCAAGAACAAAAGAGGTGTCTGATGTGTTTTCTAAAACAATATAGAGAAAAATATATCAATTATTATCCCATCGAACGAAGTTCGGAGGGATATAGGGAACGCCTCCGTCCGTCCGTACGTCCGTACGTACGTCCGTCCGTCCGTCCGTACGTCCGTCCGTCTGTCCGTCCGTCCGTCCGGGCAATAACTCAAATACCGTTGGCCCGATTTTCAAAATGGCCGCTCGTTTCAAAATGGTGGCCATTTTAGTGACGATTTTACAGTAATTTAGGTGCAATATGTAAAACTGTAATAGCAATATGTTTTAAATGTAAGAAAATTATAAAGGACATTAAAAATGCTACAAATGTAGATATTAAAGAAGCACATGGCAGCCATCTTGAAAAATGGCGGCCTTTTCTCGTCATTTTACGATTTTTGCTGTAACTCAAAAAATAGTGGAGCGATTTTGTTCATATTTGGTATGTGAATACTATAAGCAATGCAGACTGTCTTAAGACACTTTTGGTAGAAGTCGGCCATTTTGAAAAATGGCCACCATTTTAACGTATTTTACTATAACTCGAAAAGTGGTGGAGCGATTTTGTTCATATTTGGTATGTGAATACTATAAGCATGGCAGACTGTCCTATGACACTTTTGGTAGAAGGCCGCCATTTTGAAAAAATTTTTGAAAAATGGCCGCCATTTTAACATATTTTACTATAATTCGAAAAGTAGTAGAGCGATTTTGTTCATATTTGGTATGTGAATACTATAAGCTTGGCACACTGTCCTATGACACTTTTGGTAGAAGGCGGCCATTTTGAAAAAAAATTTGAAAAATGGCCGCCATTTTAACATATTTTACTATAATTCGAAAAGTAGTAGAGCGATTTTGTTCATATTTGGTATATGAATACTATAAGCTTGGCACACTGTCCTATGACACTTTTGGTAGAAGGGGGCCATTTTGAAAACAATTTTTGAAAAATGGCCGCCATTTTAACGTATTTCACTATAACTCGAAAAGTAGTATAGCGATTTTGTTCATATTTGGTATGTGAATACTATAAGCATGGCACACTGTCTATTTCTAATGACGCTTTTGGTAGAAGGTGGCCATTTTGAAAAATGGCCACCATTTTAACGTATTTTACTGTAACTCGAAAAGTAGTGGAGCGATTTTGTTCATATTTGATATGTGAATACTTTAAGCATGGCACATTGTCTAATAGAACTTTGGGGAGTAGTCGGCCATTTTGAAAAATGGCCACCATTTTTATGTGTGTTATTTTACAAGTACTTGTGCGATTTTTCAAAGATTTTAGAGGTGGCTACTTAAAAGCATATTATTTCTTCTGATGGCAACTTGGCTAGTGAGCAACCATTTTGAAAATGGTGGCCTTTCTGGTGTGTTGTTTTATGATATTTGCGCTTCGTTTGTAAAAATGCCAGCCATTTCTGTTCGATGGGATTCCCTACGCTTTGGCGTTGCCGTTGTTCTGGTTTTTTAATCATATTGTTACCAATCAAAAAATGACCATAAAATGGTGTTAAATTTTCAGAATTTTTTGCTAACTGAGTTAAGAGAAACATGTGTTCAAAAAATTCACCATATAGATAGATCTTTTCATATTTCTCTTGTTTCATAACTTCAAATGTACATCGATCATATTCCTGGTCAATGTAGGATAGTACCACCGCCAATAAATATTTTTGACCACTGATCATAACAATATGGTGCAATGACCTTCGATAGCAAGTCGCTACTACAGTCTCAGCTGTAGTGGCTAGCCTTTATGGCTCAGGGGTAGAGTGTCTTACACTGAGAGCGGAAGGTCCTGGGTTCGATTCCCATACGGGGTATTGAATTTAGCACATTCTTTTTTGAGTCTAGTATCTGGCTCGGTACACTACAGCTCCCCGACAAGCGTGCCCAAGGGTAGTTACATTGGTGTCAGAAGTGTCCCGTCGTCTTCTAGGGGGGGATGGTGTAATGACCTTTGATAGCAAGTCGGTACTACAGTCTCAGCTGTAGTGGCTAGCCTTTATCGCTCAGGAGTAGAGCGTCTGAATCTGAGAGCGGAAGGTCCTGGGTTCGATTCCCGTATGGGGCATTGAATTTAGCACATTCTCTTTCGAGTCTAGTATCTGGCTCGGTACACTACAGCTCCCCGACAAGCATGCCCAAGGGTCGTTACAATATCATTGTGCTCTAAAAACTATATAGAGCAACATCCTACAGGTGATCAGCTAGTGTTTTCAGTATAGCAGCCTTTCATAGCTTACTGCAAATTAAAGTTGAAATTTACATCAAATATCCAAATATACAGTGCGACACTCTGTTTCAATAATAAAATGTCATATCTAAAGTGCCATTTAAATGTTTTAGCATATCAAAGATATTTTGCAAAACAAAAATGCCTTTCTGTTGATGCATTGGTTTGTTATCCAGAGTCCCTCTTTTTAGAAGTATTTGGATCCCCAGCTATGAGAAGCACTTCCAGTGTCCGTGATTCCTTCTCATGTGTTCCATGTGACCATGTTGCTCTTCTTATTGCATAATACATCTACCCAAAACTAATCTTCCATCAGGACAGTGTTCAAATTTAATGTCAGTTGAGTATCCTGGACAAACCATAGAACTGCCTGAGGAAGTGTAATGCTTGGTTCGTGTCCTCTGTTTTCGATATTTACACGTAATTGTGTTACATAGACCATTATAAGATGACCAGGACCCCCATTGGCTCCATAGGCAGAATTCTGAAATAATGAAACATGTTTTTATTTTATTAGTATAGTTCGGAGTAAGGATACCAGCGGTTACCGTTAGTTATTTGGTTTCCTGTATAAGAAAGCTTTTTCGCCATCTAGTGTTTGATAAATGAATCAAGGTTTATTCTCGATAGGGAAAGTACTAATCTATCAGAAAACATTAACAAGTTTGGTTAGAAACAGAATTTTTAGAGATGGCGGAGCAATTTCAAGACTATGTAGAGCAGAATAATTTTCTGAAACAGGTAATTTTACAGTGGTAGTTCTCTCCAGATTCAGTTATCTCAAAAACGGTGTTGTCACCGTATTATTATCTTGTAACGGCAAGCTAGACAAGACTCCAATAAACAGTAGGCACTTTGCTGAGTTAGATCTGTGCCCGTGAATATATTATGAAATGAACCGTTATAATGGTACTAAATGGGATTTTTAACTGCAATCTTGACCCTAGGAGGACAGTCAGAGAGTGGCCTCCTTTTAATTTGTCAATAGTATTTATTTGTTTAATTATTTATTTAAAGGACCTTTGAAGGAGTTTTCATGATTTTCAGATCTCTGATTTGATTAAGAATTTTCCTCAGACTTTTTCTCTTACTTTCAACTAGGTTTCAGTGATCTACTATATAGTCCCTTGGATAAATCTGAGCTGATTTGGGGGGGAGTTTTTTTATCTAGGTCAAGGCCAAAGGTTAATACCTAGCTGTTTTATGATTTTTGTTTATTCCATTTAAATCTTATATTTATA